ACCTTGGATCATCATAACATGATAAATGTAAAAGATAGAACAATCATACAATAAGCAAAATCTGAACGTTGCATAGTTTGTGATGCCAAAGAATATGCATATGAATAGGATTGACCTTTTATAATATTTATAACTGCATGGTGATTGTAAGTGGATAGGAGTATTGTAAGGTTTGTCATGTCAAAAATTAAGCATTTAAATAGGCATAGACCTTCTCCATCTCCAAAATTGACAGTTTCCATAATTATACTCGGAAAAGCCTGCCCATTTTGTCTTCACAATCTATTTATAGTTTATACATGCGATCCCATACTATAATAGTGGAAAAACCCTGGTTGGTTGAATTGGGGTGTTTTCTGTAAAACACAACCTTGATGAATTAATTAAAATCCCGATGTATCAAATTTTACATGAAGCTTTTATAAAATCTGTAGGCTAAACAATCTTTACCTTTGTTTTGAGAACCTAAATGGCAAAGATCTTTTATCTACCATAGTATGTATCATCTATAACTAGCAATATTGGGAATACAGAAGAGTAAATCTGTTTCCATCTAGATACTTGACTTGTTCAAAACACACATATCGAAAACAATGTATACATGCTTTCCTGTAACTGTGAGTATGAAAAGGATACAAGAAATAGCCTACTAAAAGTTAGGAGGTGCTATAATATTGCGTGTTTCCTTCATTAGGGGAAGTTCCTATGGTGCTTTGAAATGGGACTGACTTCAATGCCAGTGTTTCAAGTACGTTTTAGACAAGCTTTCTTGTAACAGGGAAAAGTTTGTTAAGAGAGAGTAGACCTCATTATATTGATTTGCAATGTCATTGTCAAACAAACATATCACAAAAATACACAACCAATCTGACAACTTACCCACCCACTTCTGACGCCTCTTCTTTTAAGGAAACAAGCTGTTGGGGATCAGCACTTCGCAAGTAACAAAGCTTTGACTGCATAGGATAAACTTCAAGACATGAATATTGAACTAGCCAAAAGTGAAAAAACGATCAGTGAATATAATGCATTGGGTGCAGCAATCAATTGTGAAAGTAACAATTCATAATCCAGACAGGTTTCTTGCATATAAACTTTTACGTTAAGCAAATTTCCACCCAGTTAGCGCTAATTCTACAGAATGGCAAGCTTTGTGTTATATCACTATAAACAAAAATTGCTACAGATCACAGCAAGGTGACTTCAAGAGAGAATCACAATCTTCCAAGATCCAAATGTAGCAAACGACCAATGCAACATGTATAACAAAAGCAAAAATGCATAAAAGGATACTCAAGGAAAAAAGAAGTTCAAGCAAGAAGTAAAGCAGTGCAGAATTAACACACAGAAAAATATACAGATTCATGACATCACATAAACTTGAAATGCTGATCTCCTGTCAACAGAGTAGAGCAAGGTGAAGCTTCTAATTTCAATACAGAAGATTATTAAATTGATCTAGTGGTTTTCAACTGCAAAACAGGTTCATAGACCAGGGATATCCAGCACTTTTATTTCTAACCATTACATTTATGTCAAATCCAGAAAAACAATTATTTTGAAAGAATGAATGAAAGAAAAAATAAACTTAGTGTCTTCAGCTGTTTGCATTGAAATATATTCATCATTAAACTTAGTAAACCTATAATAAGTAGACAACAAAACAAGAGGCAAGTTCTGACATGGACACCAATTGTTGGATACAAATCATATCTGTTGACAACTTGCCTTCATATTCACCTGGTAATTGAACCAATTAGACTATTGTGTGAATACCTTTCCAAATATTTACTTATCAAATCAAGGCCTCTAAATCCAGATTTCTATTTATCTATCAAAAGAGCAATCAATGAAACCTCCATCCTCACTAAGACACTGAGTTCTGAACCACGCTAACTGCCCAAAACAGCGAATCAATAAAAGAAAAACAAAGATGAGTATAAATTACAGTTTGGTAAAAACATCCAAACCCCAACACTTGTCCATGAAGAAGTCTTCCAGAAAAGAAAAACTTTTAAAAAAGTTAAACTTGAATCCATGAGAACTTTGAACCATAAAATTCCAGAATTCCAAAGCCCAAGTTTTAAAGGTCACATACATAGTAAAGCGCCACCTAATTGTATGAGAACTTGAACAAGATTATGCAAACAATACACTTTGTCAGGCTATAACGCTTGTTGGCCCCATAGTCATGAATTGTCTCAGATCAATTACATTTCATAGGGATCCACAACCATATACAAATCTCCTTATAACACTCCAAATGACCTCTTTTCTATTAATCTCACGCCAAATTTAACCCTCACTAATCACAGACGCTTACGTCCTGTCACGTAAGGCAGTATATATCTAAATCATGAAGACAGCAACTTCACGAAACAAAGAAATCACCAACCTTCAACATTATAGGAAACTGCCCAAAATTATACTTTTCTCTGATAGCTGGTCTACCATCATACTGAAAGCAAACATCCGCCTCAAACTTCCCAGTATACGAAACCTTAGCCTGTCGACACTGTTTCAAAAAACAAAAGTCACTCCATCAACACGTAAATTTACTTAAAATATACATACGCGGTAAAGGGGAGGGAAAAAAAATCTTACTTCAAAAGGAAGTAGCCTCTTACGATTTGTCCTTGAACGAACGTCCTTTATTGGAGCATTTATTCGAGGGTTACTCAAGTATAGTAAGATAATAGTCAAGAAAATGATCAATTTCTAACCAAAAAACAAAAATCTTTTTTTCTTAACAGAAAATCTGATCGAAAAGAACTGAAAATACTAAAAGGATATGTGAGAGACTGGTATCAGTGTGAGGATCATAAATTCTGACAGGCTTGATGTTATCTAACATGATTTCCAATCCTCTATCCACCATGTAATCAAAGGAATCTATGTGGTGCCTCACTAGCTCTTCCAGCTCCTTGAATTCTCCACCTTTCTTCGCCATTGGAACTGAGCTTTTCTCTGTTGCTACGGGGTGAGAGAGAGAGAGAGAGAGAGACTGCGTAGGGTTTTACAGGTTTAGGGTTTTAGAAGAGAGAAGACAGGCGGGGTTTGATTGTTTTACGGCTGCAACGGTAATATAAAACGGGTTGGTGTGTTATGGGCCTTTTTCTACTGGATTTAAAACCGCGTCTTTTGACTCATGGATCAACGACGTGATTCACGATCTGTTGGATCGTACGATCCACGGGCTTTACAGCCTCGGAGCTGAAAAATCAGACGAACCTGGACATTAAAACAAACTGGATCTAGGAAAACCCGGTCCAATTGGGAGAAAAGTCCACTGTGGTTTTCTTTGTGTCCAGAAGGGTATTCGAAGTCTAGCTGAGTCAACGAGTCAATTTAAATTAATTATTTTTATTAAATCATTAAAGTTCTATTTTTAATTCTTTTACGCTAGCCTTGTCGAGTAACTAAAATTACTAAAAACATGGTTGGTTTAATCAGGATTTATCAAATTAATATTGTATTTAATGATTCATGAAATTAATTAATGTTCATTGTAAATGTTTAAATACACCAGCAATCTTCAAAATATATTATAAATAATTCCATTGATCATCAATTAATCTTCATAATCCATACCGTGTCTATTTAAGTATTTAACTATAAAGGGCAGCAACTAAATGATTGGATTTTTTTTTTAATATATCCAAAAAAAATCTTTTCTTAAAAAAAAGAACCAATCCGTGCAAGAAAAAAAAATCTTCGTAGGACCCAGCAATACAACAAAAAAAAAATCCATCCTACTGCAAAAACAAAAATCTTCCCATGATCAGAATTCCAAGCTCTCAATTATTGCACGGTTCGCGCATCCAACCTGATACCCTGTACAATGCTAGTACATTGAGTGAATAATTAAAAGTGTAGTTGTATTTTTTAAAAATATATTAAAATAATTTTTAATTTTTTTTTTTAAGATTGATATATCAAAATAATCAAAAAATATAAAAAAATAAATTTTTAATAAAAAATTTAAATTTTTTTGAAAACATAATTTATACTGCATTCCGAATATTCTAAAAAAATAAAAGAATAAATCATTTTATTTTGTATTTTTTTTCTTCTTCTTTTTTATTGTCATACAAATTTCACAAAAAATACAAATTTCAAACTCCCCTAATATTAATTGAAATGGTAAAACTCAATGTTACTAAAGTATATTTGGTATGCTGATATATTATATTTTTTTTAAAATATTTTTCTTGAAATAATTAAATAATTTTTTATTTATATTTTCTTTTAACATCAACATATATTTTTAACACATTCAAACACAATTTTAAACATAAAATAAATAATGCTTGAACTCTATCTAACATGTGTAGTAAATCTAATAGCTTGTTTTGAATTTATTTTAAAATAAAATAAATAAAAATTAACTTGATTAAATATGAATGATCTAATAAATTAATTCTTAACTCAATTAATTTAATAAAAATTTGATTAGACTTTTAAAAAATTTAAAATGATAGATATATTTTTTTAAAAATCTCCTAACAATATTGATGTGATTGACCAATTAACCAATAACATATAAACCACATCTTAAACTAATTTCTAACTTGAATTAATTATTTATTTATTTATTTTTCACTCTTAGTTTTTTTGTCTTACTTGCGCCCCCACAACTAAAGTGCTTAAAAACAGTAATAAGTTTTTTTTTTTAATCAAGCAGCAACATAATTGCATGCGTACTATTATTTTCCTTCAAAATTTATTCTCAATAAGTTTTACACATAATCTTAAATTTTTATTACTAAATCTAAATGTATTTTTTGATTAAATTTTAAGCAAATTATTTAAATCCAAAGCAATATAAATTATTTTTATAATATTTTTAAAATTTCTAATATGAAAACAAACTGATTTATGAAAGAGGACCGCAGTCAATGATTAATTATTCAGAAAAAGTAATTTTTTCTGGTAAAAACAAAATACATATCATTAATATAATTATATATTGCACTGATAATTAAAATTATATAGATATATATATATAAACACACATATATAAGTATCTTATAAGCATAACCTGCATAACTTCCTTCCCTGTCTCTTACATCTTCCAATCACACCAGGTATCTTCTCCTCCTCTCTCTTGGATTTCTCTCGTTGCTGATACTAAAAGTGAAATATTTGGTGTATTAAGAGCCGTATATTTATACTTGTAAGTAATTAATCTCTGTGATTGGTGTGTATAGGTGGGTTAAACAGAGGAAGATCTCATGTACGTGCTGGTGGATCTTAATTATACACAAGATCATGATGGCCCTTGAAAGTAAAGGTATGTTTATGCTCTGTTTTGTCGTGTTTTCTCTTCTGGGTTTTTTTTTTCTGAATTTTGAATTTTTTTTAATCTATTTTGAGTGTTAGTTCAATTATATGTGCGTTTGTGTTATCTTGTTTTTTTGATGCAATAATATTTTTTGATTGATTCTCTATAATGGGTTTTGTTTATAATGGAGGACTGAATGGTAAAGATGGAGACTTGGGTGTTTTTTCAGTGTTGGTTACTTTGTGATCATCACTGCTGTGTCGTTTAGCTTTGAGGCATAACAAGGTTGGTGAATGTGTTGTGGTGTTGCTGAGGGACATGGTTGGAGTTTGAGGGTTTAGTTTTTGATTTGGTTGCTGGTGGAGTGATTGCTACCTGAATGTTTAGAAATTCTATTCGAGTGGAGGATATGTGATTTTATGTTTTGTGGAGATTTGGATGTCAGTGAGGAATTGTGTGAAATTTCAGGCGTATGAGGAATTTGAGACTCGAATTAAACACTTGAGTGGTGGTGTTCTGTGCATTTGTGTGACTTGAACTTTATTACTTGTTGAGTGGATGCACAATGTAGGTTTCCACATCTAGAGCCTAGGTTCAGAAAATGGTTTGGTGATTGTTGAATCGAAGAGTTTTGATCCTGGCCCTGGCATGGTCCTGTACCAGTTTAATCGTGATCCTGTCATGTGTTGCTTTAGGTGTGTACAATCGGTGCAGAGTTGCATGTGATTTTGGTATAAATGCTGCCATAACAGGTGTCTTGTGATTATAACTATATAGTAAATATAAAAGATTAGTGAAACAATCTGTTCTTTTAGCCATGAGGAATTTGGTTCAATGTGTATTTTTAGAGAAGAAAACATTATGTTAATTTATCTTCTCCAAAAACACTTGTCATTCTAAAGTGCTTAAAATATAAATTCTTTTGATGAGATGGTCTGATTGAGCAGGATCGTCAATCCCCTTAATAAATTGACCTTGATGAGGATTTTAAATGACATCCATGTTGAATCTAAGTTTTACCATTTGTTTTTTGTAGAGTAGCATTGAATAACATGAGATTGAAGGCTCATCTTTCACAATAATCAATAACACTTAAGGACATAACTCAACCTAGTCCCTCCATTTATCATCCTCACTTTCTAAGAATCATCAAGAAAGTATCAATTTACCTGATCATGGCCTTCTCAAAACCCAATTCTACAACTATGCCTGCTTACTTTTCCTTCTAATGTCATCCACCGACTAGCTAAAGTACATCCAATTTAGTTCCCAACTATAGAAGCATGAGCCTAATGTGTATACCTTGCAGATTTTATTAGCTCCTAAGTTAAAATTTTACACAGGCACATTAGTAAACTAAAAAGTCCAAAACCCTTGATAACAGGATATCTTGGGAATTAGTGTAATAAACATAAGTTTGTTCTCCTTCATGCAACCTCATTCAAATAAAATCCATTAAAAACCTTAATTGTTCATCCATGACAGTATTCCAATAATCCTAGTAAAACTTGCCAAACAAGGGGCCTTCTCTTTTGCCATCTTCACAATAGTTTGTTTCACCTCTTCCTCTCTAGCCAATTTTTCATTTCATGAGAGATAAACAGTTGAGACCACTTGAGACCTTGAAGCCTGCATGTCTCCATCTGTTAATCGGAAAATCACTTATCTGTGTCTTGATCTTATACTAGAAAGTTGGATTTGAAATCTGTGTGCCTACGCAAAATGACTTGTTTGTAAGAAACAACTTGGCCAAGCTACTAGTTGTAGCATGTCTAAAATGTGCACTTTGTATGTGATTTATGTTTGGTAGAAAGGAAAGACCTAGGTGTTTTAAATTCATATAATTGTGCTTTGGTATCTAGATGCATTCTTGTGGTTTGAATGATGAGCTAATTGATGCCATAACACTTAAAAGGAGTTATTTCTAGATCTCGTTTTTTTGTTGGCTATGATTAAGTAGGCTTTGGTTATCTATTATGTGGATTTTTTCTTTAGAAAGTGTGTCATGGGATGTATCTTTTACTTGGAATGCTAAAGATTGTGAGGTGTTCACTTGAAGGGCTATAAAATTGTGTACGAATAAGAGAATTTTTTCTGAACCTTGTTGTTTTGGCTAAACTAGAGGGGATGTACAAGGAAGCCTTCTGAGGGGAAGAGTTGCTTTTGACTTATTTTTAGGATTTAACTCTGCACGTTTGGTTTAAAAAGCCATCTATTGAAGATGTTTCTTTTATTATAGATTTGGCAGATCAATTTCTTGCAATCAAAGTTCTTAGTTTGTGGTTGGATTTCATTCCCTTGGTGTCCTCTAGTAAAGTTTTTGGTTATCTTAGAAGAAAGGAAAAGGTAGTCGAAAATGCTCATGTGACATGAGACATTTTCTTCAATATTCTTGGCATAATAATATTTATTGTACCATTTCATTAATGGTTAAGATTTTTAGGTTTTGAAGAGCTTAAGAAAAGTCCAATATGCAGTTGGTAAACAAGCATAACTTTTAATCTAACCACTGGATTGAGTTGAAATTTCAATAAAAGATTCTGAAGGCCTTGTTTCCCTTTGGGTTAAAATTTCATGATGATCGGAGATCGAGAAGGCCTTCAAATAAGGCTCGGAAGTTATTGTGCGAGATTATCTTTATTTACCTTGTATTTGGATTCTTTTTCCTATTTAGATTAGAACTTTTAATTTAATTACTATTCTAGTATTTAATAATCATAATGCTAGATGGATTCTATTAATTAGTTAAATTTTAATTTAGAATCCTTTTTTTATAAGGATTTTAGTTTCAAAACTAGTATAAATAAGGATGTCTAGTTTATTTGTGATAGAACATTCAAATTATAAGAGATTTTCTCCATTTCTCTATAGTGTTTATGGTGTTTATGGTTATAACCTTAGGGCTTGGGAACCCTAATTTCTATCCACACTATGCACTGCTTAAATTCTTATTAAAGCAGATTTACCTATCTGATGGATGGAGATGGTAACAAACTACCCCGCAATGCAGGAATGGAGGTCATCCGGGGCATTGTGCGGGCACAAAAGGCGGAAAATAATCAATTAGAGCAGTTTGTGGTAGGACTATCGCAGAATGTGGCAGCACTGTCTAAAGAACAGGTCCTTTAGTTGATGGAAAATGCGAAAAAGGATCATGAAGAGGAGAGAAATTTGCCTAGAGACTTACCTTGAGGCAGGTTGAACCTAAATCTATCCCTAAATTCAATGAGATTCCTTTCTATAATGAAAGATTTTCAAAGAAAAGATTTATTAATTGGTTAACAGAGTTAGAAGCCTACTTTTATTTCAACAAGATTCTTTATTATAAAAAAGTATGGCTTGTTGTAGACAAATTTTCTTGTGGTGCTAAAAAATGGTGGTTTGAAGTTCTAGAATATAGAACTTGTACTGGTAAGCCTTTAACTCCATTAATAGAAAGATTTGAGATGATCATTAATTTTGGAGTTTATACAAGATTTTGAGGAGATTTTATATTGGATAGATAAACATTATTTGCTTATGTTCATTGTGGAGTAGTTTGGTGAGAAACAAAATCTATGTTATCTAATTATGTTGTAGATAACCAAAATCTAAGTTATCTAATTATGTTGTAGATAACGTGACCAAAAAGGGTGTTGACAAACAGTTTCAATCTTTTGACCTTAAGTTTGAGAAGATAGTGGCTAGCAATGATATTTTAGTCAAGAATGAAGATCTTTCAAACAAAAAAATAGAGGACATGGTAATTTCTGACAATTCTCATATTATGAAAGATCATTTTGAAGTTTCTTTATATACAAAGTTGAAATATTGGAAGATGATGAGGAGGTCAAGTTTGAGGTAAGTGGACTTCATAGGAACAAAAAATTTAACATCACATCTTAATTTTTCTTTAGCATGTACGCATCATGAATTAAATTTTGAAGTTCATGGGTCAAATACATGCTACTTCATGAATATGTTGGCTACAATGCTATATTCAAATTATTTGTTTCTTTGGAGTGGAAGAGTTCAATTATTGACAAATAACTCAAGGGTGAGTTTTTTAGAAATAGAGGGGACTGATGTGGGAAAATTTCTTTAATATTCTTGACATAATAATGTATATTGTATTATTTCATTAATGGTTAAGATTTTTAGGTTTTGAGGAGTTTAAAGACATGGTTTTCTAAATCAAGCACAACTATTAATTCAATCGTTGGATCAAATTAAAATTTTGACAGGAGATTCTAAAAGTCTTGTTTCCTATTGGGTTAAAATTTCATGATGATCGGAGATTGGAAAGTCCTTCAAATAAGATCTGGAAGTTGCTACGCAAGATAGATTGTCTTTATTTACCCTATTGTATTTGGATTCTTTTTCTTATTTAGATTATGACTTCTAATTTAATTAGTGTTTTACTATTTAGGAATTCAATTGTAGATAGATTCTACTAGTTAGATGAATTTTAATTCGGAATACTTTTTCTATAAGGATTCTAGGTCTAGAGCTGGCATAATTAGGGCTATCTAGTTTATTTTTGTTAGAACATTCTGACTATTTGAACTTTTATGAAAATATCAGGGCTATCTACTTTTCCTATATACATGTTGTGTCATCACATCACTAGATATGAAGGTGCAGATTATCTACAAAGGCTTTGCTTCAGTATGCAAGGAATATATGCAGTTCCCTATCCATGTAGCAGCATTTTTTTTTGTATTCTTTTTTATGCAATCCCCTTTTGGGGCCTTATGTATTTGCATATGATGTGCCACCTTTTCTTTCTCGATACATTATTACTTGGAGTCTTTCCCAGGATTTACGCACTTGGCAGCCCTTGCTTGTTTTACTGTTTATCAGGATAGTTAAATATGGTTGATGATACCAGATTATCAAAATTAAATTGTCTCAAGTGTTCTGTTTTTCATTTCTTCTTACCAGAAACTATGCAAAGGAGCTGTGAGGCCTCCTTAAAATGCCTCCAAATCAAGGGATTCCCTTGTGGGAATTCCTTTGAAGGGTTTCCTGAGTTTAAAGAAGAAATTGGTGCTCACCCAGGCAGGGATGCTGTTGAACCAGTTCACTCACTAAGCAGTGAGTTTCTTGAACTTCCAAGTGAATTTCACAACAAACCTGCCTACCATCATGATTTTGGCTCATGGCCGACCTTTTATCCGGACTCTCAAAAAATGCAGCAGCACCAAATGAATTGTTTTGAGAGCCAGTTTTATCCCTTTCCTCTGGAGACTCGATTTCATTATGCTCCTTTCAGTATGTTTTCTCAAGGTTATCCATTTGAGATCCAGTTCCAAGATTTTCAATATTTTGTGGTCATAGATTTTGAGGCTACTTGCGACAAGGAAAGAAATCCTCATCCACAAGAGATAATTGAGTTTCCATCTGTCATTGTGAGCAGTGTAACTGGTCAACTAGAAGCTTGTTTTCAGACATATGTGCGGCCAACTTGCAATCAGCTCCTGAGTGATTTCTGCAAGGATCTGACTGGTATCCAGCAAATCCAGGTTAGCTTGGAATTCCTTACCTTTTAGAAAAGAGTAATAAGTATGTATCTCTTGGAATGTTGTGAGTGGTGTTCAATTTACTTTGTACTAGGTTTGGCAGACTGACTTTCCCTTTAAAAGCGTAAATAGTGTGCAATGAAATTTTTTAGTTTACTTTAGGAGTAATTACCAATTCTTCATGAAGAGAGGGATAAACATAATGGAGAGATAGAAAAATTGCTTTGGAACCCTTAAAAGATGATTTTTTTTATTTCCACATACACAAACATTTTTTTACGTACTCCCTCTGCTTTCTATCTCTTCCTTGTATCTACCACTCTCTTCATGGAGCAAGTATTGCTAGTTACTCCAGGAGTAATATAAAATTTCTCAGGTGCAACTTCCATTTGGTCTACTTATTCAGTAGTGGGGTATTGATTCCATGCCAAATACAAAGCAATCTGTGGTTTCAACATTGTCAGGGGCTGGTTTCACTGGGCTTGGCATAGAATGAAAGTTGGATATGGACTGAAACAATTGTCCCAAGTTGGAATGTTGTCATAAAAGAATGTTCTATGACAATGCGATATAAACACTAGTACTTTTAGGCTCATTGAAGTCTTCTTTTTCGTCTCAAATCGATATTGAAGCATTTTATTGTGCTTGAAAAGAGCAATGAAGCACACAAGGTATGAAGGGACATTGTGGATTGGTAGAAGTTAGTGGCAAGTGCTGTCCTTTTTTTCTCAGGTTTTGCAATATGAGTCATTTCTTTGCTTTTCTGCAAGCTGGCCATACTTTTTAACGTTTTCCTACCTCAACTAGTTTCTTAGAATTAGCTTTATGTTAATCTCTCTTGCCTAACTTTTTTGATGAACTTCATTTGACCTCTATCTTATTCTTGTATTTCTGTGTGGTTCCAGGTGGACAGAGGTGTTACTCTTAGTGAGGCACTCCTCAGGCATGATAAATGGCTTGAGAATAAAGGGATAAAAAACACCAAATTTGCTGTGGTGACATGGTCGAACTGGGATTGTCGAGTGATGTTGGAATCTGAGTGCCGATTCAAGAAGATCAGGAAGCCTCCTTATTTTAACCGGTAAATGATATATTAGCCTTTTGATTAAAAACCTTCCCATTATAAATGTATTAATCTTCTGCGCTAGCTATTTTTCATTGTGAATAAACTGGAATTCTGTTGCATTTATTTTTTGGCAGACATGTTGAAAGTCGTTAACATGATTTCAATTTTTTTTTAACATTTTCCAGATGGATCAACTTAAAAGTTCCTTTCCGTGACATATTTGGTGGTGCAAGATGTCTGAAGGAGGCTGTTGAGATGGCAGGCCTACACTGGCAGGGCCGTGCTCACTGTGGGCTGGATGATGCCAAAAATACCGCTCGTCTGCTTGCTCTACTTATGCGCCGGGGCATCAGATTCTCTATCACCAACTCACTGATGTGGCAGACAACTGACAGTTCATTGTCATGCAAGCAGTCCGCTGAGAACCTGTCCCTTGCACCACACCAGCCTCGTAAGCTTAAGGAAATTCATATTCCTGTTTTCCCATATCACCCCTTCTGTTTCTGTGGTGTGAAGAGCAGCAAAGGAATGGTTCGAAAGCCTGGACCGAAGCAAGGTAGCCTGTTCTTTGGTTGTGGCAACTGGACTGCCACTAGAGGTGCACGCTGTCATTACTTTGAATGGGCATCTCCCTGACAAAGATTATGGAAAACCTGTTTAGGTTTCCTCTCCGCATCCTATAGTCTATCAGGATGTACTATGTAGAAAAAAATGACAAAAGAAAAAAAAAGAGATGGAAAGGAAGGTAGTTGGCTTAATTCTATCATTTGTCTCCTAGTGAACAAAATTTAAATAGTTGGCTTAATTCTTGGAGAGTTTGGGAAAACATTAAAGTGGTAGGGGAGCTACAATTTGTAAAGCTGACTTTCTTGTTGACTGGAGAACAAATGTTGGATGGCTAGTTAGGATGATGCATTTGACATGCATGGACATGCTAAGTTATCTTTATGATAAATAACCTGTGAGACGGGGACAATTCGGTTTCCTATGCATATCTAATGAGAGTGGATAGAGTTGCTTGTCCCAATTTCTGACTCCGTGTTTTTACTTGTTTTCGAGAATTTCTTTGGGCTTTATCTGGGGTTTTGATGGTTAAAATAGGTCTGTTGAATAAGTACTATCATTCTAGCAATCAAGCATTAAGACATTTTGAATGGAACGGGAACGAACGAGGAAACAGGAAAGGTGCTCTTCTTCTTTTCATTATGCTTCAAATCATGCTACAATTTTATTTTTCCCCCCAGTAACAACTACATCCTGCAAAATTTATTCTCAATGAATAAATTGTTATATATCTTAGATTTCTAAAACCGTGGTTGAAACTAATTCCTCATCCAAAATTAGGAGGCACTAATTTATTTTCTTTATTTTCTACCAAGGAAGAAAATACAATTTAAGTGATCAAATAATTGATCGGAATCGTGTCCCTGGTATAAGAAGGCAGCCTTTGTTTCGGCCAGGTTGGTGAGTTTGATCCAATGACTTGGCCGAGCCAGGTGCAAATCCGCGAAACATCGAGTTTACACTATGAGTTCACTTTCAAAGTTGAGTTTTATGTTAGTGTGTGCATTTGTATTAAAGAAAGGGGGATGCAAGCTGGTTATCCTAAACTTCAGATAGGGCATAATGCGTGCTTCTACATAACATTTAGAGCAAGAAGGGATCTCATCTCATGGCATTTGTCATGGGGTTAATTTTTCATCTCAGAGACCTCGCGCGACAGTCTAGCCTCGTTAGGCTCAGCCTTCCCCCACCTATTTACTTGTGTTTGCTAACAACTGAGTGTTTCTCTCATCAAGAGGTTTCCCACACTCTCCCCCGTTACATGGACAAGCAAAATACATAAGTGAAGGTGCACAAAACCTAGCACACAAGATATTGCAGGAAAACATTTCCAACCTTCATTCTTCTCGTCAACAAAAGATATAAAAGTCTATTAGTGTGTGTGCCATGCACAAGTGTTCTACTGCCTTCCAGAACATTGCATGCAACACCCTATGTACAGCCTATTACATGGAATAATAGAACATAACTACCTCCCTAGACATGAGCCATGTTTTGGTTAGTTTAGCCTCTCGAAAAACTGCCAATGACTCCCGATAACTGCCCGCAACTGTTGCTTCTTCCATAGCCTGCCACCTAACAAGCTAGCTATCCCTTTTACCAACTCCCACATTGTTAGCATAGGTGTCTGCATGCCTTGGATTGTCTATCGTCCAAGTCATGATTCTTGTCGAACATCAACCCATATCCTGCCGAATCTGCCACGCACGTTGCCATTGCCTATGCGTGCTGCCATTCATGCCAATAGCGTATTTCATTTAGTCATGGACTATCTATCGCCTAGACGTATCATTTGCCCTTGGTACCGATTTTGTCGTTGCTGCTAAATTCCTTGACATTACCGATCTCTTAGTGCTGCTGAATTCAACACCATCCATTGTGTCCTTCCAACACTGTTTTATCGAGCCTTGGACAATTTATCGTCCAAGTCTCCAGCTCTCGTCATCTTACTGCTGCTAACTATTGCGTGCTGCTGCACACGCATATTGCTGATTTTCACTATTATCACGCGGGTTGCCACCCTGCAACTACTGTCCATCAACACTTTTGTCAACCTATACCTTCATGAATTTAACCCTGTAACAGCATCTATTTTATAGTCGAAGTTAAGGATATTTCGGACATAGAGTTTGTTATTATGACTGGTACTTGTTTGATGGTTTCGTTGGCTTTGGTAAACGAGTGTTTGTCGGAAAAGAAGACAATTAAATTGACCAAGTCAAAGGCTCCTTGAATAATTCCAACTCTTTGAGATAAAATAAAATAACATCAATGACTGTTGACAAAAGGCACATATCAAAGAGATACCACAGCAAGAAGAGCAATGAAAATGAGGCAAAGATGGGTGTGGATGTTGGCGGCGACTTCGGCTTTGGTTGACAAGTGGTGCCATTGTCATGGTTGTTTGAAGGAAGAGATGATTAGCCTCTTGGAGATCAAAGCTTGGATCAATCATCCAAATGATATTTCCTTGTTCTACATACAAGCAACACAATAATGAGGATTCTGATCTGCAGATGGGACGAGTGATCGAGCATTCAATTTTGATACATGATATATTTTAAGAAAATAGATTTTTTTAGTTAATTTTGTTTCTTTTTAATTTTTATTTTCTCATTTGGTATTATGATACTTTTAGTTTTCTTTTTTCTATTTGAATATAATATTTTTTCAGTTTATTTTTTAACATTTGGTATTATTATGTGTTAAAGAGTAATATAAAAAAATAGCATCGAGACCTCACCTTCTAATTTAAACTTTTGGATTTAAATGATTTTTTAACAAGGTATTAGAACCTTGTTAACTTAACGATTGTGAGTTCGAATTTCATCACTCTCATTCTAATTAATAAAATCAAGCACAAGATACTGTGGACTTGTGCTAGTTTTAAGGCCAAAAGATTTTCACTTGAAAGTGTATACTAGAGAATAATAAGAAAATATTTTTAAAAAATCACCTAATAGCTTAAACTTTTAGGCTGAAATGATTCTTTAACACTACTTCATTCTCCATTCTTATTAATAAAATTAAGCATAAGGTAGTATAAGTCAATACAAGTTTAAAGCCCAAAAGATTTTTAATTGAGATGATATATTATAGAGTAATATAAAAAACTATTATTGAGACCTCACTTAATAACTTAGAGCCTATTTAATATTGTGGTAGCAGTTATTTTTTAAAATATTTTTTGCTTGAAAATACATCGAAATAATATTTTTTATTTTAAAAAAATTATTTTTGATATTAGCACCAATTTTTTTTGACAAACACCCAAAAAATTAATCCGAAGAATTTTTTTTTCAAAAAAACTTCTAAAATGTCAAAACAAACAAGATTTTAAACCTTTGAGTTAATAAGACTATTTGACTTTATGATTTTGTACTTTTTCTTTTTTTATATAAAGAGTTGTAATAGCTTTTGACAAATGCAGATATAGAGGAATAAAAGAAGGTATTTTGAGAGTCTTTCTATATTTATGGTGTTATTGGTCTTTGAAAATTTTGACATGTAATAAATCTATTTTCTTTCACTTATATTTGCATCAATTAGTATTAGAACATAATGATCTTTGATGATTATTTGCTCTGTTGTGTTCTGCAAAACAATCATGGCTAGAAAAAGTTGCAAAACATGATGAGCTTATATAAAAAGGAATGAGGATGTTTCCCTAAAAAAAAAAAAAAATCCAAAAACTAGTGTGTTATTTTCATCTATATTAATTGTTGTAATTCAAAATCTTAGAGGTGAGATCTATGATGAAATGACTTTTACAAAGATATTATGTTAAGAATCCACAATAGGATAGCCTGCACAAATTAATTAAAGCATGCATTATGTTAAGAAACCATGATGATGTGGTCCACACAAATGTCTTAGGAATCCATGATGTGGTGGCTCATTAAGAGAAAGATATTCTTGATGGAGGACAATTTGCCATTGAAAACTAAATTACTTGAGGGGCAAGTTTGTTCTAACTTGGGGAGATTGAAATAAGAGCTTTATTAGGAAAACAATTTTTTTTCTAGTTAATTTTATATCTTCCTATTTTTATTCTCATATTCTTTATTATGATATTTTTCTAGTTTTTTTTCTATATAAACGGTTGTGTTTAGTAAATGGAGACATGAAAAAAATTAAATTAACTATTTTGAGAGTTTTTCTCTATATTTATGATGTTATTAGTTTTTGAGGGTTTTAACTTATAATAAATCCCCCTTATCTATCACTCTTGTCCACGTCAAATTTGCAAAGGATTTGACATTGGGGGATTTGTATCTCAATGCATCCTTGTTTTTGCCTTTCAAAGAATGGAAGAGTGTTAACTTATTTTTTAAAATAATTTATTTGGTTGCTCTGAGAATCAAGGTTTCATATCTTCTATTCTCATATTTCAAATTGTCGATGTACATGTTGTAAACTTTGTACTGATAAATGGATGGTATATGTTGTTATAAGTTGGGTAGTCTCACCATCAAAGTTGAGAGAACTAGAGGTCCTTACTATAAATTAAATGACAATAATTTTTCATGTCTGAGGAGGCTTTCATCTGTTAGAAATTGTTAGGACATTCCAAAAATCAAACTCACACAAGTTTATGTGGTCCGACAACTTACCTACTCTACAGAGCTATTAGTTTGTATTAATCAATCAAAGAAACAATATAAATAAAGAGGAGGAGAAACTCTGCTCAACTCAACTCTACTAACTTTAGCTCTCTCTTTTCTTCTGCTTTCTGTGCTCTCAATGTTCTCTTCTTATGTAGCTCTTTATTGAATATGTGTACACACACACACACACACACTAAGTTGGGTGCAAAGGCCATAAATCATGCCATGACTCATGCCTTAAACTTAGTCTCCATTATGTGCTAAGTGGGAGACTAGTTATTCCCACTTGTACATGGTAGAGGTGGGACATTGTTTATCTCCATTTTGCTAACAATCTCTCACTTGGAGACAAATAATAAAATTATCTTTTATCCTTTAAGACCAATCAAAGTTTTACCTAACTTCAGTTTATCAAGTATAACTCTTTTGGTTAACATGTCAGTTGGATTCTTACTTCTATAGACCTTTTCTAACATTAGTTGCTCATCATCTAGCAATTGTCGGATGAAGTGATATTTGATTTGAATATGCTCAGTCCTGGAGTGAAATGTTGGATTTTTGGTAAGGAAGATTGCACTCTGACTGTCTCTATACAAAGTACCATTTCCATTCATCTTGTCTAATTTTTTTAGGAAACTCTGCAACCATACTATCTTTTTTATATATTTTGAGACTACAACATATTTAGCTTTTGTTGTTGGAAGAGCGATGATTTTTTGCAAGGTAGAACTCTAGGAAATAACAGTGCCTCCTAGAGTATATACATATCTTGTAGTGCCCTTTCTACTATCAACATCTCCTACTAGATCAACATCTACAAAATCTTTAAGTTTCAAACCACTAGCTATGAAGGTAA